ACATCCAAGCAGATATATGCACACCCATGTTTATCATGGCTTTGTTCACAAATAGCAAGGAGTTGGAAACAACTTAAGTGCCCATCAACAAATGAATGGATAGAGAAGCTGTGGTATATTCACACAATGGTATACTACACTGCATTGGAAACCAAGGAACTCATGCAATATTATTCAAAATGGGTGTCCCTGGAGGACATTATGCTGAGTAAATGATCTCAGTCACAAAAGGACAAATATTATATGGTGCCACTGTTGTAGAATGAGGTTGACATCCAAGTATAGGTTTCACATTAGCACGATCAACTGTGGCACTGGAGGGGAGTATTGAATATACCATGGACTGCTAAGATAATTAACAGGTTCGTGCTAGAGAGGGTAAAACCAGGCTGCTTCTTGGAGGCCAGGATTCTGAAGCTTCATCTGACATACTTTGGGCATGTTGCCAAGAGGGACCAGTCCTTGGAGAAGGACATCGTGCTTGGGAGGGTGACAGTACAGGAGAGGAAGACCCTATATGAGGTGGATTGATTCAGTGACTGAAGTGATGGGGGTAGGTATGTCAGAGACAGATTGGCACAGAACAGAGCAGGGTTTAGGGCTGTTTTACATAGGGTCGCTATGAGTCACAGGCAACTTGATGACACATAACAACAAATAGCTGTGTTAATCAAAGCACTGATATTTTTTAACAGATATTGGCCTTCACTTACTTCAGAAAGTAGTTAGGTTTCTATAAAGTCTTGTTTATCTAAATCAAGGAGCTTCGAGGGTGCTCTGTTGATACTCAGCATGACTTGCTGTGAAGTTTCTTATGCCAGTCATCATGTGAAAAAAGAATTCTTCTATACAAATGTACTACTATTTGTGTTATAATAAATGTGCTTATTAAAGATCTTGTTCAAATACAATTTTTTAAAGTCTTTTTTTTCAGGGCATTGAATGTCTTTATTAAATAAGTTATTAAATGGTAGCACAAATCTGCATCAGTAACTTTGGAAGAGTTGGGGACAAGGTGTGCAGTCAGAATGTGATTGTTCATTTCACAGTCTTAAGGTGGCTGAAGAACTGTGCCCAAGGCCCACTGATTCCCATATACAATGCAAAATACAATAGGAATGCAAGACTAAAATACTAAACACTAAACTCCGTGCATTCCAAAAGGTTGAATTACAAATTGTCATAATGTCCATAAGATTATTTTTGAGGGGTCTCTGACGACCAACCCATAGGAGTTGTGCTGTTGACCCAAAGGTGGTGCCTCTCTGATAGATTCAATTCACCAGTGATCACAATGGGGGGAAAAGGACAATCTCTTCCATTGTAGTTTACAGCCTCTGAAAAACCCAATGAAAAGTCAGCTATGAGTCATTTCTGACTCAATAGCAAAGAGTTTTGAAGTGGTGGTTTGTTTGGTGTTGGGGTTTTTTTTTTTAAAAAATAGGGATTGCAAAATACACGTAGTTCTTTTGAAGTTGGTTCCCTGTTACAATGGATACATGCATCAATATTTTGTATAAGAATCCATTTTCCCTAGTCTTTTATGCCCAGTTTCTCGCCAGACTTATGAGTTAAATAAAGCTAAAAGATCAACTTGATCTGAAAAGCGTAGATGGGCTTCTCTATTTCAATGTTTAAGCCTTCAGTACATGCTTCTCTTATTTTCAAGTCCAATTGCTTTTAAAATAGGAAGCCTTGGAGTTTGATCAAATCTTTGTGCAACTCTTTTTTTGTATTCACTTTAACAGGGCGTCTCTGATAGTATTCCACCGAATTATGTTGTCTATCCACCTGAACCTACAAATAAACAGGCAGAGAATAAAGTAAATGAACATATAAAAGGTAAAACTATATTTTATTTAAAAATCATTTGATATATCACTTCTTGGCCTTTTTGGCTAAGTTCAAGTGTAAAATTGTTTGACAATGTTTTCTAAAAGCATATATATATATATATCTCACAGTCAAAGAAAAGTGTACAGTAAGAAGAAAGAGAAGCAATACAGAGGAAAGTAGTGAATGATTAGAGAGGGTTTCAGTGGGAGTTGAAGAGTAGCCACTAAAGGAGCTAAACAATTTCATTCCAAACACCTTATGACCTAAGAAAATTTGGTAATTAAGGAAGAAGAAAGCAGTAAAATTAGTAGGATAAAATTTGAAGAAGACAGAAAAGGAGAGTAATTGAAGGAAAAAGCAGTTAGGCATACATAGCAGAGGTGGTATGAGATGATTTCCTGACAGAATGAAAAACAAGGCAGAAGATAGTAAAAAGCCAACAATATGAGATTCCAATTTCAGAATTTGTCAAGAAGTGCAGTAATAATTTCCCACTCTCAGCACCTCAGTATTTTTTGAGAAGGCATTAAGGACCAAAGCACTGATCATGCAGTGCTGTGTTATCTGCCAGGAGTAAATTCAACCATATATGATCAGTTGTAAATGTGTATGATCTAATCTCATATAAAATATTGCTAATTCGTAGAACAGTGTGATATAGGACTAAGAGCTTTGGGACACTGGCCTGAAGCTACAAGGCTGAAGACTGAAGTGTCTCTGAGCACCTTACAGAAGCTGTCCAGACACACTGATAGTATCCTGCTGCCAACCTGAATTACAAGCCTTTGACTTCCCTAAGAAACACCATAATCATGGAAAAGAAACTCCATACTTTGAACACTCCATATTTTCTAACTAGTATAACTAGATCAGCAAAACTGTTAGCCAGTGACCCTCAGCTAGGGAAACAAGATTCTTAATCTTTACTGTGCATACAAGCCACCTGGGCATTTTACTGAAATGGAAATGCTACCAGCTAGGTGATTTATGGCAACTCTTAAAAAGAGAGAGAGAGAGGGTGAATTAATAGAAGAAAAGAGCAAGGTCTCATTTTGGAGAAAGCAAGGATGCTAAAGCTTGTTTAAAATGTCAGGAATGGAGTGGCTTTGAATGAAATTTCCATTTTGAGAGAAGTAGCCCTGGTGACATAATGTGTATGAAGGGGGACTGTTAGCCCAAAGGCCATGCCCCTGTGGAGGTCTGAATCCACCAGTGGCTCCTCCAGAGGAAGATGAGCAGCTTCTCTCAGAAGAGTGCTGGAGGGCGATTTATGAGTCAGTTCTGACTGGACGGCCAGTGATCGTGAGTAGAGGGGACACTTGAGGATTGATTCCAAAGGATAAATGCATGTAAAGGAATGTGGAAGCCAAATTATTATAGACCACATCTTCTGAAACATTAACGCGTCACTTAGGACAGAGGCTGTTGAAAATTTAAATTCTGGCTTGGAATCAAGTCTCAAGTTGTTTATTTTTGTGTCAAGCTCTCTTTCACCCTTTTCCCTCTCTAACTAATCATTTTCCAGATGTTATTTAGCTGCCAGTGATAACCATTTCACCCAGTTCTACATTTCAGATCTATATTATTGTTGTTGTTGTCATGGAGTAGACGTGGACTCATAGTGACCCTAAGAACAACAGACTGGAACCTTGCCCTATCCTGTTCCATTCCTATGATCCAAGAATATAAAAAATATACTCTGTTTCATGTTTCCTCCTTACGTTGCTGTTGTTTTGCACTTGTTTACCGGGTGCATGGCATTAAAGAAGAATATGGAACAGTAAGTGCCTGGCACTTAATAGGAACTCAGGAAATAAATGGGTAAAAGAAACAAATGCTATTTGTACAATCATGCCCTATATTCTGGGGCCAAAACAGACAGATAATATCAAGAAATAATTACACCTGCTGTAGATAAAAATACAGGAGAAGAATCTATCAGGTGTTAGTGTAGATCTTAGGTAAAGTGCTCTTCATTTGCCTGGGGAGAGACAGCCATAATTAAGGAAGAATTCACATAGCTGATTGGTTATTGAAAGAGGAAGTAGAAGTTGTCAAACAAACGGTTACAGAAGCATTTTGTGTAAAAAAAAAACCCCACCAGGCTGTACATTAATCAAAATCAAACTCATTGCTGTTAAGTCAATATCAGCTCATAGCTAATTCTCCCTCCAGTGTTTTGGAAACAAAACAGGCAGAAGTGAAGTTGCCCACCTTTCCCTCCCAGAGTCCCTGGTGGATTTGAACCACCAGACACGCATTGCCTTTGAGTTAGCAGCTCCACTCCCTACAGATTTTACCAACAGAGATCCCTTGTACACTAATAAGGGCAGTAATAATTAGTCATTTTTTAAAACAAACAATGTTGCATTGAAAGAAATACTATTTTGAGAAAAAGAATATATTTTACATTCCTATTGAATTTTTTATATTGTTATCTGCATTATGTTAGTATTTTACATTGTGAAATGTCTTTGAGCTATTTCTACCTCTTGAATCAGGTGAAACCTAGTGTCTCACAAAATGGTTTGTTAAAGTTTTAGAGTATTATAATTACTCTTCAAGAAAGCTATATTAAGATATATTACATTGAAGGCTACGCTTAATTTAAATTCTCACATGGTAAAATGTTATGTGCTATTTTTATAAAGTTTGAATGTTATCTAGCTGACCTAAGTATGTATTGTAAATATATGTATTGATTTGTCAGCAGAAATAGACTTAAACTTGGCAGCAGATGAAGAGCAAATAAGACTTGATAAAAGTGAATGTGGACAGTCAGAGGTACGTACAAGAAATTCTTATTTAATACAGCTTCCTGTACTTCAATACCTACTGTGTAGTCCAAATAAAATTAACTTTTATAATATCCTTCTGGGGTCTTATGGTCATAAAATATAATATTCCATTTTAAAAACATGTTATAAAACTTTAAAAGTATTCTTTTAAAAACAAACTTTAAAAGTATTCTTAAAACCTAAGGGAGCTCTGGTGGCCTAGTGGCAAGAAGCTGCACTGCAATCCCAGAGGTACGTGGTTCGAATCCACCAGATGCTCTGCTGGAGAAGGAGGGGTAATCTCCTCCTGTACGAGTCAGGTCCTATATGATGGTACATGCACAAAAAATAATAAAAGAAAAGAAAAAAGTATTCTTAAAACCTGTATTAAAACTTTAACTCAAAGTTTATTGACTTCAAACTTTATCTTTGGAAGTGAATTGAAAAATAATTATCTATTTTATTATTTTATAACTTCTTCACATGATAAAGAAACTACTTAAATATCTAATTATATGTGAAGTTGAAATTATGAAAAATACAACAATGAAAATCAATGCATGAGATTCATTTAGAAGAAATAAACACTCCAGGTAGTTCAGATTTTGCAATTTCCTACAGCCAACTACCAGTGTCAGAGTTAAAAATCTCTTCTGCCTGTGGACTTTATGAAATTAACTTAAAATGAAATTTAGTAGGAACTTGAGTTCATAAAATCAATGCTAATGCATATTAAGAAAAATTAGAATGCTCAGAATGTGACATTTGATGTTAAGGTATATTATTGTTACATGACATCAAGTTGACTCAACTCATAGTGATCCTATGCACAATACCTCTGAACTGTAAACTATCCTGAGCCCATCTCACTGTTTCCTACATACCTACTGCCCAGTTACTGTGTCAATCCATCTCATCTAGAGTCTTCCTCTCTTGATCTGTCCCTCCAATCTTCCAAGCATGATGTCCTTCTCCAAGGACTGGTCCCTCCTGGCAACGTGTCCAAAGAATAGAGCTTCCAAATACTTCCCTCCAGATTGTTCTCATACATTTAATTCATAATCATATATTCTTTTCAGAAAGTTTTTCCCCTCATCTGTTGTGAAGTGGGCTAGGGTATGAGGAAGGGAGGAAAAATGTGCAAATAATAATTTTTATATTATTTAAAAATATAAGATTGTATCTTTTCGAAAAATGAAAATTTGCAGTTACTCTGTTGACCTAGTGGCAGTAAACTTCTCTGCAATCCCAGAGATATGCAGTTCAAATCCACCAGATGCTATGCTCGAGAAGGAGGGGTAATCTCCTCCTGTACCAGTCAGATCCGATTTGACAGTACATATACAAAAAGTAATAAAATAAAAAATAAATTTAAAAAATTAAACTCTGTGAGCTATTTAAAAAAACAAACAGGAGAGAAACTGACCCTTAAAAAACAGGGAGAGGAGAGGAGGGGAGGGGAGGGGAGGGGAGGGGAGGGGAGAGGAGAGGAGAGGAGAGGAGAGGAGAGGAGAGGAGAGGAGAGAAGAGGAGAGAAGAGGAGAGGAGAGGAGAGAGAACACAATCCTAGCTCTGATGCATAGCAAAAATTGTGAAGACCGTGTGGCCTGGATCAGACACACTTTAGTGTCTAGACTCACATCTCTGCTCTTCAGCATTCTTGAGAAGTCCCTGAGAGCAATTCCTAATGCAATTTGACTTTTGATTTCCTGACTGCTGGTCCCAAGAGTGTTGATTGTGGAACAAACAATCTCAATCTCCTCTCCATCTGTCATAGTGCTGCCAGGTGGCCCAGTGGTGAGAATCTTTGTTTTCTTGATGTTGAACTTCAGTTCATATAGAAGACTACAATCCGTGACCTTCTGCAGCAAACGCTTCAGGTCCTCCTCAATTTCAGAAAGCAAGGTAGTGCCATCTGCAATAACGCAGGTTGTTGATGAGTCTTCCTCCTGATGCCACATTGTTTTTCATACCAGCCTCCCAAATGATCTGTTCTGCATATAGATTGAAAAGATATAGACAGGACACATCCCTAATGAATTCCTTTCCTGATTTTGAACCTTGCAGTGTTTCCTTGCTCTGTTTCCAAAATGCTTTCTGGCACTAGTATAGGTGTCCCATGAGCAAAATCAGGTGTATTCCATGTTAATGTATTGAAAATATTTTGTAACTTATTGTCTTGATACTTTCCTTAGATCTCAATTTATTATAGGAATTTTTTAAAAGAATTTTAATCTCTTATTAGTGGACTTAATGTGTATTTGAACTGAACCCAAGCAAATAATTTTTCTAAGTACCTTATAAAGCACAATCAAACATTCTGAGACCATCACCACAATTTGTTGTGATCCACACAGTCAAATGCCTTTGCTTAATGAATGAAACACAGATAGATATCCATCTGGTATATATCTTTGCTTTCCACCAAGATCCATCTGACATTGGCAATAATGTCTCTAGTGCCATGAACTCTTCTAAACCCAGCTTCTATTTCTGATAGTTCTCTGTCAATGTACTGTTTCACTAATTTCTGAATAATCTTCAGCAGTATTTTGCTTACATGTTCGATAATTTCCACACTTGGTCAGGTCACTTTTTTTTTTTAAATGGGAATAAATATGGATCATTTCCAGTCAGTTGGCAAAGTAATTGTCTTCTAGACTTCTTGGCACAATCTGGTGAGCATGTCCAGAATATCATCTGTTTGTTTAAATATATCAGTTGGTATTCCCATCAATTGCTGGGGCTTTATTTTTTGCCAAGCCCTTCAGAGCAGGAAACACTGCATTGTTCAAAATCAGGAAAAGAATGTATCAGGGATCCTGCTTCCATACCTTTTCAATCTATATGCAGAACAGGATCATTTGGGAAGCTGGGCTTTAAGATGAAGATTGTGTCATCAGAATTGGAGGAAGACTTATCAACAACCTATGTTATGCAGATGGCACAACTTTGCTTACTGAAACTGAGGAGGACCTAAAGCCCTTGCTGCAGAAGGTCAAGGACTGTTTTCAATATGGGTTGAAAGCTCAACATCAAAAAGACAAGATTCTCACCACTGGGCTGTGATAGATGGAGAAGAGATTGAGGTTGTTAATAATTACAGTTTGCTCAGCTCCACAATCAACACTCTTGGTACCAGCACTCAGAAAATCAAAAGATTAATTCTACTGAGAAAAATCTACCATCAGGGACCTCTCCAGAGTACTGAGAAGCAACATGTCAGTCTAGAGACTACAGTATGCCTGATCCAGACCATGGTCTTTGCAATTACTTGCTATGCATCAGAGAGCTAGACAATGACTAAGGATAATAGAAGAATTGATGCCTTTGAGTTGTGGTACTGGTAAGATTCTTGAACCTACCATGGACCACCAAGAAAACAAATAGTTCTGTCTTAGAGAGGATGAAACCAAGTTTCTCCTTGGAGGCGAGGATTTTGAAGCTCTGTCTCACATACTCTGGGTGCATGGCCAGGAGGAACTGGTCCTTGGACAAGGACATTTTGCTTGGCAGTGTGGAGGGGCAGTGCAGGAGAGGAAGACCCTGGATGAGATGGATAGATACAGTAACTGGGGCAATGAGGGTGTTGGAGTCAGTGAGACTGGCTCAGGACAGTCAGGCTTCAGAGCTGCTGTACATAAGGTCACTATGAGTCCCAGGCGACTCAACAGTACATAACAAATAACCTTATAAAATCATAGTATATAAGCTATATAAAAATTTAAGAACTTGTTTCCTAAATGACATTAACTGACTTTGAAGCCTATAAATTTGAGATCTGCCTATTCTCTCCAGCTGGGGAGCTTGGTGGCATATCCCATCTGGTTTCATGCAGATAACACAAAAGTGGGGCCTGTCTGGTAGTTCAAATCAACCAGTATCTTGGCAAAATGTAAAAGAAAGAAACTGCCAATCAAGAATTCTTTGTCTAGAAAAATTATCCCTCAGATATGATGATGAAGTTAGAACACATCAGGATAAACAAATTAAGGGTAGACAGACTGAAAAAAGAACAGTATAGGGATTTTTGGCCTCAAGGCTAACAACAAAAGATAACAAACCAAAAGTTATCTCTCTGACAACATCATTCAGAAGCTGACACAGACATAAAATACACAATTTAATGGATTTTTTACTCTAAAGTTCAGAAACCAGAGGTATTCCTCTGTAAATAAGGCCATTGCAGTGCAAGAAGCTCGAATAAAAAGCATAGTTAGAACATTATGATAATTTTTGAGATAAAATGAACTTTCTGAAGCTTGGAAATAAAGTAGTATTTATACAATAACCCCTGAAAAGTTTTAAAATATTTTTTAGAAATTCTGCTTTTTAAAATTCCAACAGAAATGAATAGGAAATGCTAAAACATTCAGTGGTCTGGACTGAATGATAAAGTAAGCTCAAAAAATCTTTTTATGGCTTGAAATCATGATACTTAAACTAAAAATCAATTAATAAAATTAAGAAATATGTGACATATCTTTATATTTAATGATACAATGGTGCTTATTATTAATATTAAATTTTAATTAAAGGTTGAAAAAGAAAAGAAAACCAAAAGCAGTGAATTGAAAGAATCAGAAAATATACATGATCCTGCTATTATTAATGAAGATTATAGATTAAATCAACAAGGAAAGAGCATAACTATCGATGGTCAACAATCTTCTACTAAGAATGAAGAATCTGATGGGTAAGTCTATGGAAATAATTGTATATATTCTGATCTTCCTGTAAAACTAATACTAATATGGTTTTATACTTTAAATAATCAAATTTTGTAGGTATACTGACAGTTTCAACCTTGCCTTATAGTCAGAAAAATGCAAATTAATACCAATGAAATACTTTCTGCAATCATATATTATTAGAATGATAAATGAAATAGTAATGACACCACATTGAGAAATGTGAAGAAAATGACACTTTCATGTATTGGGGATTTTTTGTTGTTATTGTTTTTTCATCTTACTTTTCATTTATAGTTATTTGAGTGAAAGTTTA